CGCTTCGGGGGGGGGGGGAAATGTATACAATTACGTTACGTTTTCAGTGCCCTGGACCTGGATCTGTTACTTAAACGACTTCCTCGCCCGAGTTTCTTGCAGTGTTGTGGCGTTATAAACCGCGATTTCCTTAACGGCGACGCGGTCACAGCCAGATACGCTGAGAAAGGTAGTAAGACACGGGCCGTACTCGCTCAGCTTATTCCGCCTTGGCTTGAAGGGCCGTTTTAGAAGGCAGGAGATCTGCTTAGTTATCTTGGTTGCTCATTCGGTTCTTCCCCGATCTTCTCCACAGGCTTCCCTTCGTGCTGCTGCTACAGCAGGTTTACGGAAGGAGGAAAATGCGAGATCTCGCAAGAAGCATACCTACGTTAGGGAAGCCTGCTTTAGAGCGCAGCCCTAAGTGTCAAAAGGAAATTCTCCTTTTTTTAAAGCGAAACTCGTGACAGGAAACCGCTGACTTCAACTCTCATGCCCTCATTTGTCAAACGGAGCCGGAGTTCCAAAAACAACTCGGTGCTTCTCAATCTCGGCAGCTTTAAAACGTGTGGACTTCAACTCCCAGAATTCCCCAGTTGGTAGACACGCTGAAATAACTGATCAGAAATCACAGCTGGCTGAAGCAATGGTCTGATACTTGATATCTGGATAAAATTAACCCCGGGTTAGTGTGTTGTGGAACAGGCTAACACAGTGATGGCGAACCTTTTAGAGACTGAGTGCCCAAAAACTGGCCCCGCCCCCCCCTCCACCACCATCCCCTGCCCTGCCTGCCCACAGGACCACTCACCGCTTCCAGGGCCCACCACAGATTGCCCAGGCAACCCAGCAGCACTCTGGCGGCCAAACCCTCTGTCCACGCCCTGCAACATCAACTGCTTGATGGGGTGTGAGGGCAGAGTCTTGTCTACGCTGCCTGGCTGCCATGTCCTTGGCTGCGTTGCTCCATGTGGGCCACGCTCGGGGGCGACTCTCCTTCAGGGGGGCTGCTGGAGAGGAGGGGGTCGCGGGGGCAGGCAAGGCTGGGGCAACGGCACGTGTGCCCACAGAGAGGGCTCCGAGTGCCGCCTCTGGCACCCGTGCCATAGGTTCGCCACCACTGGGCTAACACATAGAGGTTAGTTAAAAAGTGGCTGGGAGAGACCACATCAGTTTAGAGACAAAAATCTGGTCTTGTAGGAACCACCAACTCTTTATGGTTTTGCTCACCATTCCCTTACAACCCCAAGGCACCTCTGCCCACAAGGGGAATTTACTTTAATCAAACTTTCACAATTGCAACTCCAAGCCAAAGATGGAAACTTGTGAAAGGCTGAGTTAGTGTATTACTTGATCACTTTTCACAGGGACTTTTATGGTTCCGGATTTGTGCGTACATTCTCATGTACCCATCTCAGGCTTGGAATGCAGGAATTGAGTCATTTACTCCGTCATTTATTCTTCCACTGTGAGATGATAGCAAATCTAGCCTCATCTCTTTGGCGCCCCAGTTCTGAGCAGGCTCTTCTATAAGAATATAAGAATAACTCTGCTGAATTAGATGAAGGCCCTCATTCATCCAGGATTTGTTCCTCAACAAGATTTCTGTGCTACAGTTTTGAGAATTGTAAAAAAAAAATAAAAAATCCCTTTGTCCATTTTCTCATGGGATGCATCGCATTGTGCAATTCAGTTATTTTCCCCCTCAGACTCTTTTTATTTTTTTTTACTAAATTATGGAGGCTCAAATTGCTATCCCCTTTTGTTGTTGTAGGAAAAGTGTTTAACCCTCCCAATCATCTTGATTGCTCTGTACTTTTCCCAATTCTAATTCTGTTTCAAATGACACCCTCTAGAATTGTCCATAGTATGCCAGGTGCCAGAATACCATGGATTTGTGTAGGGTCACTCCAGTGATGGCAGTTTTATTTTCAATCTTTTCCTAACGGTCCCTAACATGGACTTTTTTCACAGCTGCCATATATTAACTTTACTTTTCATGGTTACAGACAGTTCAGACCCCAATGGTACATAATGCAGTGTTTCTCAACCTTGACAATTTTAAGGCATGTGGACTTCAACTCCCAGAATTCCACATCCAGCATTGCTGGTTGTGGAATTCTGGGAGTTGAAGTCCACATGCCTTAAAATTGTCAAGGTTGAGAAACACTGATTTAAAAAATCCCTGAGCTGACAGCCTAATATGGCTCATATATGAAATCTCACACATGTAATTACATGGTTGCAGCCATTAAGTTAATTTTTTTTGAACATCAATGACCAGAACAGATCTTACTTGGTTTTTTCCTTTTGAAAATATTTTACTTCTCATCTAAGAAGCCTCTTCAGTTCTAACTGAGTGATGGGATTGTCCTTTGGGACAATCATGATCTGGATGATTGAGAATCTCCATAGACATTTAGCCCTGTTGGGAATTCACATGTCACCTCACCTTCCTTTTCTTGTTTCTCTACATTGATGGTCATGAAGATAATGGTGGCTCAGTTTCATGCTGCTTTTTGAAGGCATGAGGAAAGAAAATGGGAGTGATGGCGGGAACAACCTTTTGATAATGTTGGAAGGAATATTGGTACAGCAGATGCGGAGAAGTCAGACCGTACTTTCACTGAAACTTCCTTTATTTCTCACTATAACTCTTAGAAATCCAAGGAGCCAATCAGTCCCTTTTGAATTTGGGTATAGTACACTACAGTGTTTTTGTTTGTTTCTGTTGCTTGTGCAGCACTTTCTAGTCATGTGTAGGATAGCAACATCTCAGTATCTGCAGGGGCAGCATTTTAATTCTTTGCAGGAATTTAGCAAGTAAGGAAGTGGGCTTTGAATATCTAATTGCATTACACAGGAAACAATTGTCTCGTAGTGGTTAGAACAGTTGCTTTGTCCACCGAGACTCTGAATAAAAGAATCAGAAAGCAAAGTGAAGGTAGTCCTCGACAACGACAATTGACCCAAAATTTCTGTTGCTAAGGGAAATATTTGTTAATTGAGTTTTGCCCCATTTTTCGACCTTTCTTGCCACAGTTGTTAAGTGAAACACTGCAGTTGTTAAGGTCAGGGATCCCCAACCCCCAGTCCGTGGACCAGCACCGGTGTACAGCATGCCAGCAAGCGGGCCACACAAACAAGCAAAGCTCCATCCTCAGGATGCAGGCAGTATTCAAAACCATACCCCCTCTGGTCTGTGGAAAAACTTTTCTCCATGGCACGGGTCCCTGGTGCCCAAAAGGTTGGGGACCTCTGGTTAAGGTAGTAACATGGCTATTAAGTGAATCTGGCTTCCCCATTGACTTTGCTTGTCAGAAGGTCACAAAAGGCGATCACATGATCCCGGGACACTTCAACCATCATAAATATGAACTAAGTGTCTGAATTTTGATCACCTGACCATGGGGATGCTGCAATGGTCGTAAGTGTGAAAAACGGTCATAAGTTATTTTTTCAGTGCTATTGTAATTTCAAACGGTCACTAAATGAACTGTTGTAAGTCAAAGGCTACCTATGTACAGAAGAGCCGGTTAGTGATTCTAGGGCAGCCTTTCTCAACTTTAGCAGCTTTAAAATATGTAGATTTCACCTCCCAGAATTCCCTAACCAGCATGCGCTGGAATTCTAGGAGCGGAAGTTCACAAATCTTAAAGTTGCAGAGGTCAAAAAACGCTGCTGTAGAGATCTGCAGTTGTAGTCCAGTTCATCTAAAAGGTGAAGGCTAGTATCTACATTCTTTGCAGATGCAGCTTTCTTGAACGTAGTTTGCAGGTTAATTTTAAAAGCAAAACCTATGAATTAAACACTGTTTAACTAGAAATGGCAAAAGGAGAAGAATGTAAATGTATTTTCCAGAATTCTGGAGAATTCTTATGTCCTAAAGTGGATGATCATTAAAAGTCACAAGTTGGGGGGGAGGGGGAATCTCTGTATTTTGGAAAGTTGTTTGTAAACTAAGATGGAACAAATTTATTTTCCAAGGAAAAGAAAAATAGACTCCTTTTAAACAAAAGAAGGTAGCATTGCCTTTCTTGATTCTTACTCTTCTTTTGCCAGTTTTCACGTTCACTGCATCATAATTGGCCCTTCCCCCATCCCCCATCCCCCTCCACAAGAAATGGTCTCCAATAATGCTTCAAATATTATCTCTGCATTCAAAAAAAAATCAAACCTTGCAAAAGGAGAAAAAGGAAAAAAAGAGGGGGATTATTTATGCCTTAGTCAAGTGACAAGGGACATAATTGTTTAAAATGACCCAACTTGCTTATTGGTTGCATCTATGAAATAAAGGCCATAGTGAAAAAGTAATCTGAGTTCACTAGGGAGCAAGACAGAGAGCAATCAAATGGTGAAATGCTACTGCCATTCCTTCTAATGAGGTTTAGATGATTCTTGGCCAGACATTCACTATCTTGACTGGGAGAAACTCCAGCCAGACAAAACGATTTGAACTAAAAAAAAAAAAAAAAATACCTTGTCTGAGACTCAAAGTGTTCTGCTAGTAGGACTTGGGGTTTGTTTCTTTTATTCTGACCAAGTTGGACCTGCACCAGTATTCCTGAGACACAGATGGACTCGGATTGCTTCCAGAGGTCTAAAAATGAGCAGAAAGCTGCATTCTCTTTTACCAGATTACTGTACAAAGTTTCCATTTCAGAGTAGATACAGCTGGATTTCCAGCAACTCTGAACAGGGAATTTGGATTTTAGTTCTTTTATTAGGTATCGTCGGGCTATTTCTAGATTCATAAGAGGGTCCCTAAGACACACTTAAAAAAAACCCAATGTTTTTTTTAAGGAGCAGACTGAAAACACTGCATTAAATGTAACACTCCATATATACATAATTATACAACATACTATTGTTGTCAAAGAGCGCAGTGAAAATGGTTTTTTGCACACAGCCAAACAAATGAATGCTTTTGTATAAAATGCATAAATAGAGTGCTAGCAATTTATTTCCTTCCTTTGGGGAACAAGGGAATGAGGGTGTTTTTTTGTTTTGTTTTTTACTCCAGGATCAAGATCAAGCTTGGGGTAGGGCACTGAATGAACGATGCCCTTTATACTGTCTCACTGGTCAGCCAGTAGAAGCTCTGGATTCTTAAATAGTTCGGCCTTTCCAGGTCAGCAGAAGTGAGGAAGACTGCAGCTCAGTTTCATTTCTGGCAGCGATCAAAGAATGGAAGCTAATATCTGGAGCTATTCACCTGGAAGTAACCTACAAGAAATTTGGAATGGACACTGGTGTTGCTTTGCTTTAACTGAAAAGATGAACGGAACGGCTCTATGAATAGTGTCATATAGTTAGTCAGTGGATAGCACTAGAGCAGTGATGGCGAACCTTTTAGAGACCCAAACTGCAACCCAAAACTCATTTGTGCATCGTCGGGTGCTGAGTGGGCGTGGCCCATTGGGTGGGCGTGGCTGCAGTGGTAACGGCAGACTGGGTGAGACGAAAAAGTTCAATCAATCAATTCCAATTTTGCAAGATCTTTTTTTTCCCGCGAGAAGTTGAAATTGACTGTTGATTGAACCTTTTTTTGTTTTGCACACGGCAGCGGAGGTCTAAAGCAAAAAGGTTTTATAAAACCCAGCTGAAGGCCTAGGACTGGGGCGACAACACGCATGCCCACAGAGAGGGCTCTGCGTGCCGCCTCTGGCACCTGTGCCATAGGTTCGCCACCACTTCACTAGAGTATCTCTGCCTGATGTAAGGAATTCCTTGTGGAGTTTTTGTTTAATGGGGATATTTAAGTTCTTCCTTAGCTTCCTGGTTAGTACAACCTCTAATATTTTCTAATCTGAGAAATTTTCTTTGTTCTCTTAACTTTGTATGAAAATTACCCTCTTTGGCAAACTGCCCATCCAGCAGTTTGAAATCATGCAAATGAAAGTAGATGAATAGGCACCACATTGGTGGGAAGGTAACAGTGTTCATTGGCATATAGTCATGCTGGCCACATAACCACGGAAATTGTCTTTGGACAAGGCTGGTCCTTCAGCCAAGAAATGGAGATGAAAGCAGCGCCCTAGAGCAGAGGTCCCCAACCTTTTGGACACCAGGGATTGGTTCCATGGAGAGAGGTTTTTCCGCGGACCGAAGGGTGCATGGTTTTCTTGCTGCCTGCATCCCACAGATGGGGCTTTGCTTGTTTGTGTGGACCAGTTGCGGGCATGCCATGGCCGGGTACTGGTCCACAAACTGAGGGTTGGGGACCTCTGCCCTAGAGTTGGATACAACTGGACAGGGAAACCTTTACCTTTAGAGCAAGGTAGAGGAAAACTGGCAGGTGGAGAAGAGAATCCATCACTGCTGGAGTCCTACCCACTTATTCTGGAAGTCAGAATTATTTTTATAATTAGAGCATTATTTAAGCAGTAGAATTAGACTCCTGTTCTCTTTTTTACTTCTTTTTTTAAAGTAGACAACAGAACTTGTTATGCATTTAGAAGCAAACAATCAGGTTATCTGGAAAACAAAACCAACATTTTAAACTTGGAAGCCCACAATATTTAAGTTCAAGAATATTCAACCCGAACCTTTTATAAATATCCTGCTATTCTTGGGGGTTTCTTCAAAATTGTATTTATTCTTTTCAGGTATAGAAGACTGCAGCTGACTGCAATTATTTTTACCCTGCTCAAAAATGTGATTGTATTTCCCAAGATGTCTGAAACTGAATCCACTACGAAAGTGATACTGAAGATGGTGGAACTGCAAAAGTAAAACAAACTCTTTAAAGGGCATTTGCGGTTAGTGCAACTACTTAAGTTTTCCTAACAACCCTAGATGTTAATGGTTTTACAACCTGATATTATATTACTGTTCCCTTTTAGAAAATTTAGTGTCTGACATTAAGTCTAATAAAACTGGATACTGAACCGGCTATTTTAAAGTGGGCTGTGCTTGAACCTCATAGCAGGCTATGACTGGTTTCCAAGGGCAGCTTAAACACATGGTTAGAATCACTGGGGGTCAAGTAAGTGAAAGGCCAATTAATCTCTAGTCAGTGGAATCTGAGATTTTCCAGTCCTTTATTTATGTATTTCTTTGCTCTGCAGGCCTTCCTGGAAACTGACTCTATCAACAAGTGACCCTTTCTTCTAAGTAAATTTGCATAGCATTCCACTGAGGCTGGATTTTCATGGAAGGAAGGAAGGAAGGAGGGAAGGAAACTTTATTAAACTAAAAGAGTGGTATCTAGTCAGTTCAGTCCTGGTTATGCAAACCAGTTGTTACTTTTTTGCTATACCATTCAGCGCTGCCAATCATCCAACATCCACATGGGGGCTGCATGAACATCTGTCAGACTGTCCTGCCCACATAGCCCAGGCCCATCTTTCTTCAGGACAGTCACAAAGATCACTATGGCGGCCCCATGAGCACCAGATCAAATCTTGGGCTTTGCAAGCCTCTCCCTGCATGGAAGAAGCAGGCAGTTGAGGGAAAGAACATATTTGCTCAATAGGAAAAAAGAGTTCCGATCCAATCAGATACTGGATGGATCAGATGACTTCGGAGGGAGAAAAACAAGTTTAAGTTAGCACAATGAGGTTTTTTTTCTTCTTTTTCTTCTCCACTTTATCTGTTGGAGGTAGACCTGGCAAGACATGTGGCTGAAGTCATTGGCTGTGTTTGTACGGCATGTTAAACTTGGTTATGTGGATCTGTTGAATTGATCAGATTGTTTGGGCGCTCGTGAACACGAAGTGCAAAGAAACCTAACCAAAGTTAGAGAGAAAGTTACTTTCCTTTATTTTATTGTTGAAGGGAGCATCCTTACTTGCCTGTATGTAAAGCAGCACTTTGATCAGATTTCTGATATGCTGCCTTCACAGGCAAGTACCACTATATATTTTTAAAAAATATATAACTAAATATCATCCACATCATTATCTCAAACGTGTTCTGTCTATCTGCTGAAAATGGAGATTTATCTGTCTCTTAAGGTGGCTGCATCTATTTTTTTTTTATTGAAAATTTTTAAAATTTTTACAAGAAGAAAAACAACCCTCCCCAACCCACCCCAACCCTCCCATTCCCTCCCTCAGCCTTCCCAGAGCTGAATATAGGCTTAATTAAAGTTTCTTGAATTCTTAAAAAAAAAGTATAAACCATAGATAAATCTAAATACATTACTTAAACAACTAATAAAATAATTAACAATTATATATATATATATATATATATATATATATATATATATATATATATATATATATATATAAAACATAAATATTAAAGAAAGGAAAAAAATACTTAAAAAGAAAAAAAAAATAAAGAGAAAGAAAGAAGAAAGGAAATATAAGAAAGTAAAATAATAATAAAAAATATAAAAAGAAAGAAAAAATATTACAATCTATACAATATTAAAATTTATATATAAGTTATTGAAAAACTAAATAATATTTTTATATCCAACTTATGTTGTATAAAATCTATCCATTTTTCCCATACCACAAAGAACTTCTCTTGCGATTGATCCTTTAAAAAAAGCCGAATCTTTGCCATTTCCGCCAGATAGGATACTTTAGAAAACCACTCTTGCAAAGTAGGCAAAGATTCCTTCTTCCAATATTGCCCTACTAACAACCTTGCGGCTGTAATTAAATTTAACATCAATACAACCTCCTTAGTATCACAATCAGTAACAATACCTAGCAAAAACAATTGTGGGGTAAATTTTACCCTCCCTCTAAAAATTCTTTGAATATTCCACCATATCTTAATCCAAAAGGCTTTTATATTTTTACACGACCACCAAATATGGTAATAAGTAGCGTCCAAACAACCACATCTCCAACATTTGGGCTGTAAGTCAGGATACATACGAGACATTTTTTGTGGATCAAGGTGCCATCTATAAAACATTTTATAAAAATTCTCCCTTAAGTTCTGGGCTTGTGTAAATTTAACATTTCTCACCCAGATAATTTCCCAGGTATCTAGTAGAACTGGTTCACCAAAATTTTGTGCCCATTTAATCATACATTCTTTAATTAATTCTGGTTCTGAGTCCAATTCTACTAGCAACCCATAAATTCTCTTAATATGAGTTCGTCTTTGATCTTTTACTTGTTTAACAAAATTTTCATCTTCTCTAAGCAAGCCCACATTACGATCTATCTTCCATCTGTCCGCTATTTGTCTGTACTGAAACCATGAATATATAATATTTTCTTGTGCTAAATCTTCCAAAGATTTTAACTGCCAAATTTTACCATCCCATCTAAGCAATTGTGCATAAGAAACACTATCCATCTTAACTCCTCTCCTTATCCCCTCTATCGCATGCCAAGGTATAGCCCATAATGGTATTTTAGAATCACTTCTGTGATATTTCCTCCAAACCCGCAGTAAAGAAATCCTTATAATATGAGATTTAAAAACCCGGTCAACTTTTTTATTAAAAATTAAATAGGCATGCCATCCAAAAAGTAAATCCCAACCCTCCAAGAGGAGTATTTCTACATTTGTTAAATTAACCCAATCACTAATTAATGTTAAGACCACAGCATCATAATACAATTTCAAATTCGGTACCTTGAGTCCACCTCTCTCACGAATGTCTTGTATAATTTTAAGCTTTACTCTTGGTTTTTTCCCTGCCCAAATAAATTTATTGATACCTTTCTGCCATTCATTTAAATTGACCTCATTCTTTAAAATAGGTATCATTTGAAATAAGAAAAGGAACTTAGGCAGGACATTCATTTTAATCGCCGCAATTCTTCCCAAAAGAGATAATTGCAACTTCTCCCAATTTTTCAAGTCTCTTTGTATCCTGACCCACAACCTTTCATAATTATTTTTATAGAATTTTACATTAGAGACAGATAAAGTAACCCCCAGATATTTTACCTTATCAACGACCTCAAAATCTGTCAAATTAACCAAAGTCTGCTTATCCATATTAGTCATATTTTTGGGTAATATTTTGGTCTTATTGTTATTAATTTTAAAACCCGAAACCCGTCCATATTGGTATATCAATTGTAATAGCTCTACTACAGAGTGAGTAGGTTGGGACAGAGTAACCACCAAGTCATCTGCAAAAGCTCTTAGTTTATATTCTTTTTTATTAACTTCTATTCCTTTTATTTGCTGTGATTCTCGAATTTTAATCAGCAATATTTCCAAAGTTAAAACAAACAGCAAAGGTGACAATGGACATCCCTGTCTAGTCAGGTGGCTGCATCTATTAAGTATAAGAAGGGGATATGTTTCTTTTGAAAGCCAGTTTAGTTTAGTAATTAAAGGCATGAGTCTGGAAACAAGAAACAGTGAATTCTAGGCCTGCCTTAGGCACAAAGCCAGCTGGCTGACCGTGGGCCAATTACTTTCTATCAGCCCTAGGAAGTAGGCAATGGCGTACCACTTTTGAAAAACCTTGTCAAGAAAACTGCAGGGACTTGTCCAGGCAGTCTCCAAGAATCAAACACGATTGAATATAAGGGGAAAAAATGTTTTCTTTTATGACTATCATCACTGCTATAGAAATCATGGAGGCTCTAAATTTTAAGGTACCCAGTTATACCATAAAATTTTTCTCGTGTTATAATCCAAACTCCTGACTTAAAGCACAAATTGCAGGAATCATTTGCTTGTGGGTTACACCGACGCCAAGCTTTTTGTAGTTAAAGCTGTGAAGGACAAGGACCAGAACACTTTTGATTTAATTTGACTGACCCAACTGAGTGACCCCACCATACCTGGCTGGGGAATTCTGGGAGTTGAAGTCCACAAATCTTAAAGTTGTCGAGGTTGGACAGTCCTGCTCTAGATATAAAAAAGGAGTTTAAGGGAAAGGGGAAACACTGAAAAAATAAAGAGGCCACAACAGCCTCAATCCTAGAATTCCAGATAAGACAAATACAGTTAGTCTAGATAAAATAGTTCTTGTTATGGTTTAAATAAACTCCTATTCAACTATCACTGCAGAGAGTACTGTTGAAGAGAGATTATCTGAATTCTTCTTGGATCCTATGAGTCAATACCTGTTTGCATTTTCTTTGTTTACTGTTTTAATTGATTTTGTGGTGTGTTTTTAATGGTAGACTTAATTGTACACTGCCCAAAGACACTGTGTGAGATGGATGGCCATTTAAATATAACAAACAAACAACTAAATAATACCAAAAAAACCTAAATGCTGATCATTAAAGGTAATTCTTTGGTTACAACCATTTGTTTAGTGACCATCCAAAGTTACAATGATGCTGAAAAAAAGTGACTTATGACCATTTTTCACACTTAAGACTTAGCATCCTCAAATCACATGATCAAAATTTTAGCTTGGTAACTGGCATGTATTTACGATGATTGCAGTGTCCTAGGGTCATGGGATCACCTTTTGAGACCTTCTGACAAGCAAAGCCAATGGGGAAGCCAGATTCACTCAACAGCCATGTTACTGATTTAATAATTTCAGTGATTCACTTAACAACTGTGGCAAGAAAGATCATACAATGGAGCAAAACTCTTCATGCTTAGCATTGGAAATTTCGGCTCATTTAGTGGTTGTAAGTTCAAGACTACCTTTGTTTACATTGTTCAGCCCTGAATTAACCATTAAGCAAGATAAAGCACGCTTAGGACATCAAGGGAGGTGGGGCCACCACAGAGTATTTTCCCCTAGCTATCACGCCCTATCAGGCACATGGAACCAGATCCACATGTGTAACACTCAAGCTAACTACTTTATTGCATTCTGCCTACAGTACAGGAATCTGTACAGACAGCTCGCCTTCCTTTGAGAACAGATACATAAGGTTTCATGGGGCTTGGGAAGGGGGTCGGTCCTGGATCTCTTGTGGCTGCCCAATGATTCAAGGCTAATTCCTCTCTTGCACCCTCCTCCCTGCCTTGCTGAGCATTTCCCAACACACACTCAACTTGAGTCAATTTTTTTTCTAAATGTCCTTATCTGCCATGTTCAACTTTACTCTGCATCGTTAAAGAAACATATTCTTCAGCATGGTGAATGAGTATAGTTTAAAAGCTTGATTTGGAGGTTATCACATTTTCCCCCCCAAAGATGTGTAGAGGAACATCTTTGCTAGCCTTTGCCTAGGCCTTAGGGTATTAGTTGGCTTAATCAGACGTTGATGTAGCACAATTGTTTGTTAAAAAAAAGTCATTATAAATTATCAAAAACCTAAGAGATTTTCCTAACAACCCTAAGACTCATTGCTCATTAAAAATCAGGTGGAAGGGCAGATTAGATTTTTTTTGTGTGTGTGTGTGGAGTTTGGAGTAATTGTCTAATCTTCTTGAAGGAAAACTACTCAGATAAACTGTGTATCTTCATCAGAATAAGGACATAATCCGGGGATGCCACCGGAATCAGGGAGAGAATTATATATCCGCTACAGTCAAGCTATTTGCCCTTAAACAAGTAGCACAATTGTCCTGAAATGTACAATAATTCTAATCAGTGTTTTTTTTCTAAAAAAAAAAAAAAAAGTGCCGGAACTCACACATGTCATACAACCCGCCTTGCCTATCCTACAAGGTTTCATCCAAAAAAGGTGCCGGAACTCCGTTCTGGTCGTTCTATGACAAAAAAAACCCCTGATTCTGATACATATTAAAAGTTCATTTGGGCTTTTTATTATACTTAGATGTATGTCCAATATGACACCAAGATTAAAAAAACAGTCTCTAGCATAGAAGTCAAAGCATGTTTGCTTGATTGGATCTGGAGTGTTGCCATTAACAGCACTCATCTCACACAAATCCAAGTGGCAGGGTTGCATTGTAGCTGAATTGCAAGCATATCAATTGTCTTTGATGCAACTGCTGACTGCTACTTAAACTGAGCAAAGGAGTCAGTTAGGCAAATGATCAAAGAGCCACAAGGTGAACTTAGTCAAACTTCAAGGATGTGCTGACCTCTTCAAAAAAGTCAGAGT